AAAGAAAAGACCAGCATTAATGGAGTAGGAAGTAAAACTGTGGCCCGTTTTGATTCCTTCTCAGTGAACCCGGGTACAGGGGGTTGGGGTCCCCCAGCGAGAGGATATGATAGCAGAGGGGCCCTTGACTTCTATGCAGCTCTTTGATTCAGAACTTTCTCTTTACTCCAAATATTATTAAATATTAAGTAGGTTATGCATTTTTCAGAACTCTTATTTACCCTATGCAGAAAGAGAATTCATCCTCTGTAGTCTTTTCTACAACTATCAACTAATATTTAAAGGAGTAGCCATGTATATTTATTATAAAAAGAAGAGATTTCCAAAAAAGACAAAAATAAAGATCTGCAGTTCCATCATTTAGAGATAACTACTACCAAGCACCTAAGTGTATACTATTTTAAAGATTTTTGGGTGTATATACTTAAGCACACTTAAATAAAAACAGGGTGCAAAAGTTATTTTTTATAGCAAACTTCGTCACTTAACGATATCCTTATGAGTTTATTTTCATGTAATTTAACAATCTCCTTCAATGTCATTTAAATGCACAGCACACTGTATCTTTGGCCAAACAAGAGTCTACTTAGTCAACCCCCTATGGTTAGATATAGAAGCTGTTTCCCCAAATTACCAATTACAGCATAAATGAAAACGCCAAATGAACATCACTGGGTCTTCAAATCCAATGTGCTCTTGCCTTGGTGCTAACTGGGAAGATGCAGAAGAAAAGAGAGCATTTTGTCCACACAGTCTCACTAAGCCTGACCCATTTAGTGGTTTTTATCTGGCTCGGAAAATGGCCAGCGGGGTGCATTGTAAAGCTGTGGAAATATCAAACAACTCAGCTGCAACCGACACCATAATGGGGTGCCCACAGTGGATGCCAAGTTCTCTCACTGCGCTGCTGAGAAGCCCCTGCAGAGCCCAGAGGGACTGCGCTTCCCGCTTAGTGTGTCAACGGCGGCTTTGCACTTAGGGCTGAATTGACTTCGGTCCTCTTTGGTGTTATGTTTTTCTCTTAATTCCGGTCTTGGAATTCATCACTTCTCTTCCATAGCATCATTGCTGCACTAGGTCGGTGGGTGGGTTAAAACGCTGAATAACTCATGAAGCCTCTGAATTTAAGGTTTTAGTTTCTCTGGTTTAGAAATTTACACAATTATTTGTTCATGCAGCATTTGTATGTTACTTTTCTGATCATTTTATGCTATATAAAATTTTCTGGCAATTTCTCAAGTCCTGGCTTCTCAGCCCGCCTATGCAGCTATCAACTGTGCGACAACAAAATAAATCAGTATCTGAAGGCTGCCCAGCATTGGAATAAGGCAAACACCAGCGTTTTGAGCTGCTAAATTGAATTGAACATCTTCATTTTGGAGGACAATAGCTCTTCTATTTTATTAATTCTGCTAAAACCACTCACCGAGGAAAAAATGTTTTTTTTTCTTTAAATTTGGAGAATCAAGATAGCTCACAGTTTGCTGGGATTTGGCTGCCCGTGTCTTTGTGGCATGCATCAGCATCATCAGATAGACACTTCTGAGGTGGTACGTTTGTATTCACTGTCACATGTAAATTCAAGAAACAAATATTTATTGCATCTTTATTCTGTGCCAGTCTCTCCTTGTCTGCAGAGTCCACAGAGACAGAGAGGAGCAAGAGATATTTCTGCCTTCAAAGAGTTCAAAGTTTGAAGTGCCTGCTTTCAAGGGACACACACACACACACACGTGTGCACACACATACATACACACACTATAACCACAGAACACAAAACACGAGTATGGCTGAGATCAGTGGGAACATGATGCTCCAGGGGCACCCAGAGAAAACAATGCACGGGCTGGGGCTGGAGGAAGGTTTCTGGAGGAGGTGAAACCTGAGTGAGGTCTGGATGGAAGATAAACTGGGAACAGGTATTAGAGGCACAGGAAAGCATCAGAACAGCATCGCGTGTGTCAAACACAGGGTGTGGCCAGACAGCTGCAAATGATTTGATGAAGCTGTTGCTGAAGCAGTGTGTGGGCAGAGATGTGGCTGGAGGAGCTGGTTAGAGTGAAGTCCATGATGGACTTTGTTCACTGAAGAATTGGTTCTATAGAAATAGGAACCCTTGAAGTCTTTTGGGTAGGTGGGTGTCACGATCAAAACTATATTTGGGAAACTACCCCTGGCAGCGGTAAGAAAGTAGGAAAACCAGTTAGGAACTCATTTCCATCTTCCAGGAGGGGGGTGGGAAGATCTGTCCCAGGGAATGGAAGGAAGTAGGAACAAAAGGACAGTCCAGAGTAGGTTCTTTCTTACTAAGCTGGTAGTGCCTCCAAGCATACATGTTTCCACATTTGTTCAAAAATACTTATTTTGGGGGAAAATTGGAAAGATAAGCCGACATGGGAGCTAGGACTGGAGATGCTGGCTGTAGGTGGCAGCCTATCAAGTTGGTGGTCTTTCTTGGGGTTGTTAGTTAATTATCAGCTCAAGATGCTTTGAGTTCCTCAAAACAGTCTGTGAAATCAGGAATCCTTGCAGACTACCAGCATTACTATGCTGTGCACAAATTATATAAAACAAATGCTGAAAAACCTGTAGCAGACTTTTAAATAACTTTAAGGCAAACAGGACACAGCACACACCACACAGCAACTTGAAAGAGTGTTTTGTGGATCTCTGATCTCCTCTAGACTATCAGTAGTTTCGAAGGCAGAAACCATTTTTGGTTCGTCTTTAGGGTTTCTAAATGCACACAGTAGGAACTCAGTCAGTGAGGAAGGAAGGAAGGAAGGAAGGAAGGAAGGAAGGAAGGAAGGAAGGAAGGAAGGAAGGAAGGGAGGGAGGGAGGAAGGGCTAACTGTGGGGAGAGGAGTTTGGGACAGAAATGGCTAAGGGCAGGTAGAAAACATTAAATAGGGACCAGCTAATGAACAGCTCACCATGTTGAGGAAATACACGGATGCATCTGATTAATCAGAAATATTTCCAGTAAGTTCAGAGAAGAAAACTGACTAATCATTCTATGGCAGGTTAGCTAGGAAGAAAAAAAGTCCTAATGTGAAACAAGGCAAATCACTGGTTGGAAAGTTTTTTTTTTTTTTAGTGAGAGAGACACATTGAGTGGTTGGCACCCACACGACCCCAACCAGGGCTGGGGATAAACTGCAACCGAGGTACTTGCCCTTAAAGAGTACCGAACCCCAGACCCTCTGGTCTGTGGGCTGACACTCTAACCACTGAGTCAAACCGTCTAGGGCTAGAAAGAGGTTTATTTTTTAATCCTTACCCGAGGACATTTTTTCTGTTCAGATAGAGTAGGAGGGAGAGAGAGAAAGAGAGAGAGAGAGAGAGAGAGAGAGAGAGAGAGAGAGAAACATCAACATGAAAGGGACACATCGAGTGGCTGCCACCCACACAACCCAACCAGGGCCCGGGACAAACTGCAGCCGTGGTACATGCCCTTAGCGGGAACCGAACCCGGTCCTCTGTGGACCACAGGCTGATACTCTAACCGCTGAGCCAAACTGGCCAGGGCTAGAAAGAGTTTTTAAATGATGATTTTAAATAAGCTCCTGTTCAAATAGCACATTCACCCATTTTGTTGTTTCTTCTTTTGTTTTTCATTCCTTAGAAGTTGAGATTGTGGGCCCTGGAGCCAACCTGCCTGGGTTTGAGCCATGAGCCTCTCATCAGCTGTGTGACTTGGTGCAAGTTCCTAAACCTCTCTGTGCCTCAGTTTCTGCATCTATAAAATTTGAGTATTCTTAGTGCTAAGTCTTAAAGATGGGTTTGGAAGTAAATGACTTACCAGACATGAAGCTCTTAGAAAAGTGCCTGGTATGAATGTTTAGTAACGTTGGCTTTTTCACTCTATATGTTTGCTGTATTTAGTGCTCCCTATGTATCAGGTCATTCGAAATCCTGGGAATAAAAAGACCATGACACTACCCATCCTCAAGAAGCTGACAGGCTACCGGGGATGACAAGTGGGAATAAACAATCGTAGGCCAACATGAACGTGCTCTGATAAAGTTGCACCGACATGACCCGCTCTGGGAGAGCAGAGAGGAGGGGGGAGGGAGGGCTGAGCTGAAGCCGGTCATCTACACAGCGTGGCCAGGTCCAGCGCTTCAGCCAGCCTTCGCCCCTACATTCCGTTTCCTGTCCTGGCACAGTGTACTCTTCGGCTGCGTCTTCCCTATGGGAAGGGGACCCCTCTTTCCTCTAGATCCTTTGTTTAGAGAGCACACTCGGGTGATTTCTCCCCGTCTGCCCTGAATGAGGAAACAGGTGAGTATCTCTGGGGTGTGGGGTTAGGGGCATGTTCCCTCTTGGCCAGTGGAAACAGGAAGGAGACCCTGGGAAGGAGGACGGGAACAATTTCTGGGGAAGGACAGTCACAGATCAGACTCAACTTTTGGTTTAATAAATAGAGGCATCTCGGGGCCTTGGTGAGGAGGCTGGGTGATGTGTGGAGGGAGGAGGGCCTAGTGATTGGAGAAACAGCCACAAGACAATGGGCTTCCTACTTCTCTACTTCGAATTTAGCCTCCCGATGCCCCATCAGTCAGTAACTCAGATGAGAAAGACCACAGCAAAACGCTGACATTCAGAAAGCTTCCTTTTTCCCTTTTCTTTCCAGAGCCCATTGCCGTGTTGAGGAGAGCTGCCAGGAAAGAGGTCGCTTGGGAAACTTGGAAACACTAGACCGGCAGTGGATTTGTGAAGCTACTGGTTCTTCCTGTTGCCAGCCCCCCACCCCCACTTTTATAAATAAGGCGCCACCACTCACACAATGTTGTGTTTATAAAGCACCTCATATGCTCGTTTCACTTGATTTGCTCACCGACCTTGTAAGGTGGGCCTGGTGGACAGCCTGTGGCTACTTTTATGGGACACAGCTCTCAGCTGCTGACCCCGGAGCCAAGCCCGTGCACAGGGGAAGGGTGGGCGGCCTGGCGGAGAGGTTCCTGGGCCCCGCAAGCAGTGGGCAGACAACAGCTTACCCCCTTTCCTTCTCCCGCAGAAAGAAAACCTGGGCAGGTCCTCCTCGCAGATGGCATAGGAGTAACTCAGGAAGGACGTTCCTTCAGTCAAGAGGGTTATGCCCAGAAACAGCTCCTTGATGTCCTCTCCTAAAGCGAAAGAGATGACCAGCTTTACTCCGAGTGAGGGTATGAGCCCCAGGAACTTTGCTTTCCCGCCGTCTGGGCTGCACAGGGCAGTTTTCTCCCTTTCTGGGCGAAGCAGGACCCGCGGTGCAGCCCTGGGCGGGAGAGGAGGCTGGTGGGCTCGGAGCAGGCAGCGTCTGCTGTGCTCGCCGCCCTGACAGGGCCCCTTAAGGTGATGGCTGCAGGTCTGGCTTCCAGCACTTTCAGCCGGTTGTATTAGATACCTCCCTGGTAGCGCTGGGGCGTGGTCAAGCCTGCACCCCCACCCCCGCTGCTTGGCAGACACTGTAGCATAGTTACACAGGAGCTACAGGGTGCTCCGCGGCGCTGGCTTCCAGTTCTTTCTGAGACTTGTTTTCCATTCTGCCCTTTTAGGTTGTGCTTATTCCTCCTTCCATCTGCATTTCTCCCTTCCTCTCCTGAAAGCACTTCTCAAGCTGTTGCTATAGAGTCCAGATACTGTGTGAGGTTTGCAAATACAAAGATGCAGAGTTCTCGGACTCTGGGAATGTGCCCTCCATTTCTGTGGAATGATTCCACACGCCAAGTTGATTAAATCCTGTTGCTCTGGTTTTGATAAAACTCTTTTAGAAAGGAGAATTCTAGTAACTATAGCAATATAATGACTAATTGTAATGGCATTAATGGCCACATAAATATAAACAGTCAAAAAGCATTCTAGCTCACTGCTCTGGGTGGAGTGAGAAGGTCTTGCATGTCTTTGCCTAGGTTGAGGTTTAAGAACTTATATCAGCTATTTGGGAAATGAAATAACACAAAGACAAGCCATGTTTGTTGCTGAGATAACTAAACAAAATCTCTCTCCTGAGCAAACATCAATACTTAGGCTCAACACATCTGCTTTCTTTGCTGGATATACTGATTCCAGGTGTTTGTATCATCCCAATGAGTGCCCAGGGTCTTTTCAGTACAGAAAGCACAGCAGTAAACAAGAGTCCCCTGGATCTGGATTTCCCCGGGGAGAGCTGACGGTGCAGGTGGAAGCATTGCTCACCCCAGAGGGGTGGGCCAGTGGCTGAGCCGGACACTGCACTTAATGCAGGCGCTGGGTGTGTGAACCAGGAAGAGGCTGTGCAGTGTTTTATTTCATGGCAATAGTTTTTACTTACTCAGAATGATTCCAAATCTAATGCTGAGATTGGATTTTAAATGTTGGGAACACTGGTCCACAGAAAAGCCAAAATCTTGTAATGGGTCTGCCAAAAAGAAAACAACAGATTCCTGTGAGAACACTGCTCTGCAAACTCATATTCAAAATTCACAGCTACTATATCTATATGAATCACTGAAACTGATGTAAAGACATACTGCCCAACACATTTTTGCATAGGTCCATGACGCTTCAGCAGCCCCGCCCAGTCTCTGCAGTGGCCGCCGCTCAGTGTCACGTTCAGTCTCGGGTATGAGAACGGTCTTGATGGGTGGGTTACATCTTCACTTGTAAAATTTTTATCATGGTTTGAATCTTCTTATTTTCTGAACTTAGACTTAAAATTGCTCACTGATTGCACAAAACAATTTACAACGTATTTATTATTATATTTATTTATTTTAATTTTTTTTCTTTATTGATTTTAGAGAGAGAAAGAGAGAGGGAAAGAGAGAGAGAAACATCGATGAGAGAGAACATCGATTGTGGGGATCAGGCCCACAACCTGGGCATGTGCCATGACCAGCAATCAGACCGGTGACCTCCTGGTGCATGGTCATTGCTCAGCCACTGAGCCACACCGGCCAGGGCACAGTCGGCCCTCGTTTATCGCGGTTATTCAGTTCCAGACTCTACCGCGATAAATTAATTTCCGTGAAGTAGGATTCTTTATTGATATACAGTCGTCCCTCGCCACTTCGTGCTTCCACGTTCGTGGCTTCACGCGATTGCGGTTTTTTCACATGTAGTACAGTGTAGTATTTGCAAAAACCGCAATAGAGTGAAACCGCAAACGTGGAAGCACGAAGTGGCGAGGGACGATTGTATTATTATATTTAAAGCAGAGGGAAATATATGCAGATTTTCAAAGTTAAGATCTGCCTTTATAATTTCATCCCATTCCATCCCCTCCTATGCAATGTAATACTTTTTTTCCAAATATTTCTCTACATGTCAGGTACTGTGTTAGAGATGATAAGGACTACAAAGATAATTTTTTTACACATAATTTCTACTTATTCAAAAAGCACCTGTGGCTCATCTACGCCTTAGAAGAGAGTCCGGAAACAGCCTCCGGCCCCATGTCCCCTCCATCTCCCCACTTCATCCTCATCCCCCGGCCGCGGGGCAGCATGAGCACCCAGGGATCCCCGTGTCCGAGTCGCACATGCGCTTCCTCCGCTGACAACGGTCTCACCCCTTGGGCCACGGTAGGTGTTGCTCATTCCCATCTTCGTTGTGAAGGCTCCCCTGAGAGTCCCTGAAATACTTCTTTGCGTCTCTGAATTCTTAAAACAGTTGTGTCTGAAATACTTTCTAAAGGGTACACACATGTATGACTTACCCTTAACACTTAATCGAAACACGGGACTTCTGAAAGGCGGGAGCCGGGGCTTTGTTTTCCATTTCTTTTTCCTTCGTGTGTGTTTCCCACTGGGCCTGGGAGAGGAGGGCTGGCTCTACACTGCACTAGTCACTGAGCAGTGCACTGTGTTTATGAGCGTTTTCCACTTAATTCTTCAGACCCCCGGCGTCTAGCAGAGAGCCCGCGGCCGGACACACGGCAGCACTCCATAAATGCCCCTCGTGGAGGAATGGGCCGCGCAGTCAGCTACTGTCTCTCAGCTCCAGACCTGCCTCCGAACTCTTGCTCTGTGAAGCTGGGGCTCTCTGCAATCATGTTTCTCCTTTACCGGCCGCCAGGGGGTGCTGGGCAGAGACTGAGGCCGAGCGAGAGGAGGGTGTGCTTTCTTGCACGCTTGCTGGTACTTGAGCGTGTCACCCAGTGATGGCCTGTCACCCCGGCAGTTGGTTCCAGTGTCCAGCTCTCTTTTGCACCTTCTCAGAAACAGCAGAGGCTCCACGGGCCCCTAAGCTCCTGTGATGACAGTACCTCAGAAGCTGTCACCCTTCCCTGGCAGTTGGTGTCTCAGCTCCATAGGCCCTTCTTTCAAGCTTCTAGGTTCTAATAGCTCCAACCTCTGCCCTCTACTCTCCCAGCCTTTGGGGTGGTAGCTGCTTCCTCACTGTCCCTTTGTGCTTTTTGGTTTCCTAGCAACTGCTTACACAATTCCCTATATTAAATCCTCTCTGTTAAAATGACTGACATGGTGCTGTTTTCCTGACCAGACCCAGACTGCTACAATAAATAACGATCTTGAGAGAGGTATAATTTTTCCCATTTCATAGATAGGAAAGTATAGACTCAGAGAGGTGGTATTAACTTGCAGGGTCAAGATTGAAACAAGACTTAACAACAAACAAACAGACACATAAATAATTGCCAGCTAGTACCGTGCGGAGGTATTTACAAAGCAGGGCCTCAAAGACGTTCGTTAATTATTTGACTTGCAAGATTGCCTGGAATGTTTTGCGTGCAGACCTATGGCATCTGCTAGTTCTCCTTCATAACTGCTTTCGATTACAGCTGAGCGATGAGCTCACATTTGTCAATGCTAGTGTTCCAGACCGTTTTATCACCCACAGTGCTGACCTGGAAGAGACATAATTGTCTGCGATTTCTGCATTGGAAATGATCACTAGGCAATTTCAGCCTTGCAAATCTAATCTAGTGACCTTTAATCTGGTCACTTACTTTTCTGGGAGGAAAAGCCATTTTTTCTTCTGCTTGTTTTACGTCTTCATAAGCATCTCGCTGTCCCAGGGCTTCCTTGGGCTTGGGGAGGAGGAGCAGGGGGTAGAAATACAATTGTTTGTGTTACATATTTGGCACTCAGTATTGAAAAAGAGAGTGCAACTAGCAGATGCTTAGGAAAGTATATCTCAAAATTGTGAATAACTTTAGGTTGCTGTCTGAGGAAAGATAAAAGAAGCCGTGAGTGTGATGCTTAGCCAGTTAGCAGTTGTAGAATTATACTGTATGCTTCTCAACATTTCAGAGGTAGAAATAAGGGAATAAACTAAGGGCAAAAGAAGGAAATGAAACATCTCTTTGAAACTGGAAATATATTGTTAAGAAAATAATCTAAATAAGGAACAAAGTCACAAAGGAAGATGTGTTTATAAACACAGAAAATTATGCTGCTGACAAAGTGCCGAGGGCTTGGCTGATCTTTCCTGGCAGTGATTTCCGCCTCATCTCCGGGAGCGACCACGCAGTTTGCAGTCGTCTTGGGGAAAGTGACGTCGGTTCCTCCCATCCCCAATCCCATCCTCATAAATGCACATCCTTCCCTATTGATTTGTATTTGCACTCAGCCACTTAGCTTAACATGCCCTGTAGGACATTCGTTTTCTCCTACACTTCCTTCCCCCCTCTACTGGGTGCTGCAGGGTGGGGTCCCCAGCCTCAGGGCCAGCATAATGCTGTAAGAATATACTAGGTCTCCAGTAACCGTTGCTGAATCAATAGTGAGGGTTACATGTGCATTTCTTTGGGGGGTCCTCTTGTGCATTGTCCTCTCACCCCTGGATCCCCACAGCACTCCTGCCCCCAACTCTGGCGTGACCACCAAAATGTCTCCAGACTTTGCCAAATATCCTCGGGGCACAAACTCGCTCCTGGTGGAGAACCGCTACTTTAGAGAATTGCTTGTTCAGTTACCAGCTTACCATTTTATTTTATTTTATTTTTTAAAATCCTCACTCAAGGATATTTTTCCATTGATTTTCAGATAGAGTGGGAGGGAGGGAGGGAGAGAGAGAGAAACATTGATGTGAGAGAGACCCATTGATTGGCTGCCTCCTGCATGACCCCAACCAGGGCTGGGTTTTTAAACTTGCTGCAAAGCAGGTGGAGCATTGGCTTTCCTGCTTCCACGGGGGTAGAGTTCTGACGGCCACCCTGAGAAAGAGCTGACACTCCGGCCTCACCTCCCCGTTCATCCCCAAGCCCCTGCCCGAGCTCGTCCAAGTCATTCCTGCTGCACGAAGTTTGTCTCCCTCTGTTCTGACCCTCCCTTCTCTCTTCTTCTCCCTCCTCTCACTTCGCTCCTCCTCCTCTCTCTCTTCCTCCCTCTCTGCCTTTCCCTCTCTCATTTGCTCCTTGCCTTCCATTCACAGATGGATGGCATCCTGAGATCCAGAACACTGACTTTTCTTCTAACATATCTTACCCCGTGGTTCACTGCCTGTAACCCACATTACTTTAGGAGCTGGTATTGCTTCCTGCGTGTTCTGGGAGAAGAATGCAGGCCGACTCTGGAGTGTTAGATATGACAAAGCATGTTTCCCAGCATGCTTCCTACAGAGGCCCAGCTTGGGGGTGAGGGGGTGGGGAGGGCAACGGAGAACGGGGAGGCTTTACCATGAACGCACAGCTTAGATGATGCACTGGTGAGATCAACTTGAACAGTTTATGGAGAGGAAAAATCTTGGGCAAAGAGATTGTGAGTGAAGCTGGTTTGCTTTGGTTGCTTAAGAAAATAGCACCAGGTAACTTCTTGTTAGTTAATAAAACAGAGTATATTAGGGTTCTCTAGAGAACATAGATATTCTCTTGTATATTTATAATATATGTGCATTACATGGAGAATATATATATAGTGAATACAGGTAGTATATCTAAACATCTGTCTATTTATCTGAGAGACTTACTATAAGGAATTGCCTGACAGCTGAGGGGTCCACAGTGACTGCAGTCTACAGGACAGCCCAGCAGGCTGGAACCAGGTGTGAGGTGCTGTCTGCAGGGCGGGCCAGCAGGCTGGAACCCAGGTGTGAGGTGCTGTCTGCAGGGCGGGCCAGCAGGCTGGAACCAGGTGTGAGGTGCTGTCTGCAGGGCGGGCCAGCAGGCTGGAACCAGGTGTGAGGTGCTGTCTGCAGGGTGGGCCAGCAGGCTGAAACCCAGGTGTGAGGTGCTGTCTACAGGACAGCCCAGCAGGCTGAAACCCAGGTGTGAGGTGCTGTCTGTAGGACAGGCCAGCAGGCTGAAACCCAGGTGTGAGGTGCTGTCTGCAGGGCAGCCCAGCAGGCTGAAACCCAGGTGTGAGGTGCTGTCTGCAGGGCGGGCCAGCAGGCTGAAACCCAGGTGTGAGGTGCTGTCTGCAGGGCGGGCCAGCAGGCTGAACCCAGGTGTGAGGTGCT